GCGGAAAAATGTTTAATTTTAAAATCAATTTTTAGTGTTTTTTATTTCCTTTTAAGAAAAGAATTTTTTTAAAAAAACTTATTTTTAAAAATAAATATTTATAAAAAATATTATCCTAAAAAACAATGCTTTTATTTTCATTACATATTATGATCTATGATGGTTTTGACTTTGAGAACATTGGTTGTGACGAATCCTTTGTACTAGTTGCAAGGATAAAGTCAAACTCTTATATGTTTTAGCATTTGATAGTTTTAAAATTTTCAAACTATTTCAAATGCATGCAAGAAATGTATTTCTAAATATTTTTATAAATGAAGAAGTTTATATTGAGCAACCCTCATGTTTATCGGGTTCAAAAAGTTTCTCCTAAGAAATCTTATGTGTGCTCAATTATTAAATGTTTGATTTATAATATTTTGATGTGTACTTAAATATTAAATGTTTGAACACAATTTGGACTTTCATGATTGTTGATTTTCATGGTTTTCATGATTAGTTTTCATTTGAAAATATCTTTTCATGATTTCCCTTCATTTGACTTCATGATCTATATATATAAATCTATATATTGCTTTTTGTTTATGTTTTGTTATAAATCTATGTATAGAGACACTATTTTCATAATGATATATCTATATGTGTTCTCTTATCACTTTGTGTGTGAGTTGTGATTCGCGTGTTTTTTTTATATCTATGTTTACTCACATATATGCCTTATTTTTATTTATATATACTTTAAAGGTTTTTTATAGGGGCCCTTCCCTATATCTTTCTATGTTCATACTCACCCATGCTTATATGTAGGGGGAGCTTAACGTTTTTTCCCTCTTATTGTTTTCCCCATTTTGATGTTGACAAAGGGGAAGAAACAAGTGTCTTGTGAGTATATTAATTTTTTTTTTCTTGCATGAGGATAATAAATTGCATATTCATTTGTTATCATGCATGTTTTATATACTCTTTGTGCAGATTATTTATCATCATAAAAAAGGGGGAGATTATCAGGTTTCATGTTTATGAGCCTATTATCTAATCTGGTTTTGATGATTAACAAACAATTCCTAACAGTGTTTGTCGAGTATTTGCATTTGATTGTTAGATATCCTGCACAAAGATCCTACGTCAGAGGTTTGTTGGACTTGCGATTTCACGATGATATTCAAAGGAGGTTGAAAAGAAAATCGGGATAAAGTCATCGCTATTCAAGTCAAGATTCATCGTCGCTTTATCCACAACTAAGACGAGCTTCATTGAAGACCTATTGCTTGGGTATATTAGTTTAGGAGTTGTACTTTATGTGTTATGCTTAGAGCTCAATTTATATACACACACATATTGTTTCACAAATTGATTTTTCAGATTATACACTCCATGATTTCATCTTACATTATTTCCAAAGTCTATTAATCTATTTAAAAGAAGTTTCAAACTTGTTTGAAATTGTTTTGTCAAAATCAAGTATTTAACGAACTTGTATTCCTGAGATTTTACAAAATGATGAGTTTTTCAAATGGGAAATGATATTTGAAAAATTCTATCCCTAACATGTTTTTTTCATGTGAATAAACATTTTCCTAAGTTTTATAATTTTTAGAATTGTTTTACTATTTGAAAACGAATTTAGAAAATCAACTTTTTGGGTTTCATACTGTTTTTACAATCCAGATGAGTTTTCACAAATGGAAAATGCTATTTCAGAAATTTTTCTCTAACATGTTTATTATCATATGAATAAATATTTTCCCAAATTTATAATTTTTGGAATTATTTTACTATTTTAAAATGAATTTAGAAAATAAGATTTTTAGGTTTCTTGTTCTGTGAACAGTTTCTGTGAACAGTACCGGTCGACTGATAGAGTGGCACCAGTCGACTAACCAGAGAAAATTTTTAGCATACAAAATTATTGTCTCATCAGTCGACCGGTGCTCCAATATCAGTCAACCGATAACGGCTATATTCTGCATAACAGCTAGTTTTTAGGTTGTTTTGCTATAGAGGCTATATATATGCCTTCTAACTCATTTGTTTCACAAAGAATGTTCACAAAATAGTTTTGGCAGTTTGTTTTAAATATTTTTGAGAGAAATTAAGTTTGTTATATGTGAAGAAAGTTTCACAAGGAGGAGAATCAAAATTTCATCCTTGAGGAGTTCAACCTCAATTCTTCATCCCTTTTTATTTAGTGAAGTTTTTTTAAACTCATTATCTAGCTTATTTTTATTTTGATTCTTATATATATTTGCTAGATTATTTTGAGTTTAATTTCTGTTATACTTATTGTTTACACACACAACCACTTGAGCTTGAGTATTTCACATATCGTATATTTGGGTTGTGGGGTTTGTATCGTTGAGTGAGCTTAAATTTAATTCTCAACTTGTTTAGAGAACAAATATTTATTTGCATATATTGTTGTAATATGTTGGAATGCACAAGAACACTTAGAGGAGTAGTTGGGAGAAAAACAGGGTTAATTTTCAGAGGAGTGACTTGGTTGTAAAAGCCTAGGGAGAGATAGCAATTCTAAGAACTTGAGGAAGGTGACACGGGTCGGCCAACACTTAGAGAAGTGCATCGTGTGATTGTTAACGTGTATATTATAAAAGTTTTCGGTGAGCTTAGGAAACCGATTGTGTAGTGATTTTGTGTTGATAGTGGAGAACCTCTTCGAGGTGAGAAGCAGAGACGTAGGTCGAGGGTTGATCGAATTCTGTGAACATATCATTGTGTTTGTGATTATTTTGGCGCACTCTTATTGTCTCATTGTTTATATCACCTATTGGTTATTTGTTTATCCTTGCATATATCACGTTGTATATCATATTGCTAGAATATTAGTTATTTGTTTATCCTAGCATCCAAATTGGATTTGATTAGCAATTACCCTATTCAACCCCCCCAGTACTTTCAATATAGACTATGACCTATTTGCAAAATAACCAATTAACTTATTTCCTTTACTCTTGTAACCCTAAGTGTTACATATGCAAATCCCCTTCACAATTAAATCAAATTCAAGATTGAAGTATAAAGTTATATTTTAGGGATTTCCAGCATATTGAGTAGGAATAAATATTTATTTTGCAAAAATCCCCTCTAAGGTAATGACTCGTCTAGCAAAATGAGCTATTAAGAGAGAGAGGAAATGAAATCCATACATTTTGATGTGACAAATAGGGTGGGTCTCGCCATGTGATTATCTTTTGATAGCTCATTTAGCAAAATAAA